TGAATTAATCAATTAATGGGCTTTAGTTTGATTTTGTTTTAAGTTGTAATAAGGGCCCAATTGGAAATTTAGTCATCAGCCTTTGGGAGACCAAGGGGTGCATAGCTGATTGACTTTTGGTTGTCACAGTTTCAGATATAATCAGTCATTAAGTAGTTTCAATTCCTAGGTTAATGAATCATTATTAGCCTTTATTTATTTTCATTAAATAGTTTTCAATTCCTAGATTAATGGGTTATTATTAGTATTCATTTTCTTTTATTGAGTCTTTTGTAATTCTGATGACAACGCTTCTATATCAGCTGAACCATTCTTATCAAGAAATAACAAGTGCAATTTTATTCAGAAATATTAGAGTTTATCTCTTTTATCTTAGTGAGATTGATTCTCCTAAATTCTTGAGTGATACTCAAGAACCCTTGACTGTATCAAAGGACTGTCACATCCTTTGTGTGTTGCCTCCCTTGGGAAGAGTGATTCTTTCTAATTCCTAAATTTCTTACAAGATTCTAACTCTAAAGATCCTAAATTACCCCTTGTGATTCATATCACTCACACATGTGCTACATCTTTGATATCACAAGACCACAATAAGTTGGGGTCATGCATAATTTCACAATATAGTTTACGTAGACCCTTCTACCCCTATTGCAACTATTATTGCTCATATCAAGTCCTCAATTGGATACACTCTATCATACATAAAGACTTGGTTAGCAAAATAATAAGTAATTGAAAATGTCTACGGGAAGAATCATTCAACAAATTGCATAGCCTATTACAAGTCATGTCACAATTTCTTCCCCGTTTCTACTACCGATTAACCACACAACAACCATCTATTCTGAACCTTTAAGCCATGCATTGATGACTTTTGGTATTGTAAACCACTAATCCAAGTGGATTGGACATTTCTATATGGCAAATATAGGGACACCTTACTACTAGTTGTTGCACAAGACAGAAGGAATAACATACTCCGCATTGCTTTTGCGATTGTTGAAGGTGAAACTGCATATACTTATTTTTTTTTTCTTAAAAAACCTAAGGAGGTATGTCACACCTCATGATAACTTGTGCTTAATTTTCGATCGCCACAAATCTATTTATATAGTGTACACAAAACCTGAGAGTGGATGGACTGAGGGTAACTATATGCATGTGTATTGCATTCGACACATTGCACAAAATTTTATGAGAAGATTCAATAATGCAACTCTCAAAAAAGACCTTGTCATTATGGGTAACAACTTCTATTCTATGTAAACTATTTTACTATGTTAATTTATCTATTCTATGTTAACTTTTATTACTTCAATATACAACATACGCAATGATTGAGCCAAGAGCAAATTACTATTACAATATCATAAGGCAAGCCAATCCAAAAGCAGCAACCTGGATCGACGAAATTTCTAGGAACAAATGGACACTTGCATATGATGATGGCAGAAGATGGGTTCACCTAACAACCAACTTAGCTAAATCCATCAATTCAGTTCTACAAAAAACAAGGAATCTGTCAATCTCCTTTATGGTCATGGCCACATACACAAGATGCAATAAATTTTTCATAGAAAGAGGGAGACAAATCATAGTAATGATTAATGTTGGTCATGTCCATTCAGAAGTTGCATCAAGGGTCTTACAAGATGCTTATACAAAATCATGTAATTTTGGTGGAGGAGATTGTCAACCCAAGAGAAGTTCGACCTATTGGTAATTTTGTTGTTAGACTAGATAAAACTTGGTGTGATTGTGAGAAGTTCCAAAAACTTTATCTACCATGTTTTCATGATTACGAGATGTACATTAATCTTGTTTATTGGATGTAGTCAACAAAGTGTATGAAAATTTGTTTGGGGAGCTTAGATACGAAGATTATTGGTCATCACATCAAGACCCACAACTTTACCTCAATCCAGAAACAAGAAGAAGTTCCAAGGATCGTCTGAAGTCAATAGGAATTAGGACTGAAATGGATATCCACGAAGAAGGTCACCTAAATAAATGTTCCTATTGTCACACTCCAAGTCACACAAGAAATCATTGTCCGCATAACCTCGGCCTTAAGGATAAACTTCTCATAGATAAATCTATTATGATTTTGTAATATGGCATTACAATCAATAAATAAATAACTATTCTACTCATTTGTGGTTTTCTAACTTGTTTATTCATATCTCATTGATTTAATGTCAAAAATATCAATTCACTTTAATTCAAATTGTATATTTTACTCAAATTATCTAATTCAAATTTCTATTTATACAGAATTTTAACAAAATATTTATACCAAATCTATTTTATATTATATTGTATCAAAATTAAATAAAATTATTTTTAGTATAAATATTATATTTATTTACTATACATATTTTTTATTAAATAAATACTTAAATATTGTATAAAAAATATATTATCATATATATATATATATATATGAAAATATAAATATGTATTTATTAAATGTATATATATATATATATATATATTTATAAAGTATATATAAATATTATATATATATATATATAAGTATATATACACGTATATAATATATTTTTATTATATATATTTATATTCATTATATATAAATATGTATATTTATTTAATATATATATATATATATTTAATAACTGTATTTATATTTACTACAAATATTTATATATTTCTATGGAAAAAATAGAAAATTATAATTTGTATTTCTTAAAAATATTTTATATTAAATAAATATTTCTGTATTATATATATATATATATTAAATATTTAAATATATAATTATATATATTATAATTAATAAAATAATACTATATATAACAAAATATAAATATGTATTTACCATATTTATAAAAATATATTAAAGTATAATAAAAATATTTATATATTTGTATAAAAGAAATATTATTTTTACTTACTAAAATTATTTTATATTAAAAATATACTTAAATAATATATATAATTTATTTATGTTATTATGTTATATAGAAAGATATAAATATATATTTATTAAATATATAAATATACATGTATTTATTATATTTATAAAAATATAAATAAATATTTAAATATATTATATATGTATTAAATATATTTTTATATTATATAAAAAAATATTTATATTTATTTGATATAATTATATAAATAAAATTATATATATATAATTTTTATATTTAAGAAATATTATTTTTATTTTAAAAAATTATTAACCGTCCACATTAGAATTCGGCTCGCAAAAGATCCATTTAATTGAAAATGTGCTATCTCAGTCAATGTTATGCACATGTGTATATTTATATAAAAAAATATTGCTATATACGAAAAAAAAGAAATCCCCTTAGATACTCAAAGGATTGTACCAAGTCAATGTTTCCCAACGAATTAGAATTTATTTTTTACTTTCTCATTACTCCTATTTCCTCCTAATGACCCTTCATTGTGGTGTATCTGAAGTTCACAATTTGTTACGGCGGGATTGGACCTATATATGTTTTGGTTTTTGGGGGGGGGTTGAAAGGGAGCCTAGCTCACACGAATCTACTTATGTGAGATAAAAATAGGTGAGTTTAATCTGATTGAATTTTGGTGAATAAAAAATTTTATAACCTATCTTAACCCATCATGGATTAGTGGTTAGTAGATTGATTCACTAATCTATATTTTTTTAATTTTTTAAATGATATATATATATATATATATATATTATATTATAAGATATTAACATAATAATATTATAAAAATACTAAGTGAATAAATTTAATATTCAAATCCTTCTAATACTTTTAAACAACATTATAGTTAAAAAAATCAAAGTATCATTCTCGTTATATAAATAAAATTAGCAAATAATTACAAATGTATAAATGCTAAAACTTTCAAATAAAGATTCATAAATTCAATCGTTTAGGTCATGGTACAAATTATTACCTTTGAAAGCGGTAAAATGGACATAGTGATATATAGTGATGCAGTTGATGAGATAATAAGATAAGTGATCAAAGTATAGTGATGCGACGAACTGATAACAAGCTTAAGTGAGAATTTGACTTGTGGTGACAGCGACAATGTGAGGTAGAGTTGAGGCAAGATAATATCAATTAGGGTTATTAAACTATTATACTTATTTTTAAAATTTAAAATAAATGATTAATTAGGGTTAATATATTATTATAATTATTTTTAAAATTTAAAATTAATGGTGGGTTCTTGACCAATCCACTATAACCCGGTTCAAACCCGTTTAACCCATAAGTTAAGTAAGTCAAGTTTATTTTTAACAAAATAAAAAAAATCGAAATCAACCCAACTTGAACCCATAATAAGCCAAGTTGGCTCATAGGTTAGAACTTGTATTGACATCCCTATTTAAGTTTATTTATTTTCATGCTATTTTAAATAAAATAAGATGAAACAAAATTGGCTGGAAGGAGGTTGTTCAACTAAATACCCAAATATGAAGGCTGAAGGTTGGCATTGAATGATAGGAAACTTATGCCTTGCAGTGAGATGGATTCTTGGGGTTGTATGAGGACTGATTTTAAATAAGAGGATAAAGAACTAAATCCAATGGAAAAACTAAACTGTTTTACATGTTTTCTGCATAAATTATATATATATATATATATATATATATATATATATATATATATATATATATATATATATATACAGTATTCCCCATCCCCTTATTTATTTATTTATATATATATATATATATATATTTTTTTTTTTTTCTTTTTTCTTTCCCAATGGGGTGGTATTTTACCCCGCATAGCATCCAGTTAAACTTCAAAAAGAAATGCCACTTTTTTCTTTTGCGAAAAAATATTAAGAAAAATTTACTACCTTGAAAATTTTTTGTAAGTCTAAATTACTTAAAATAATAACAACAATGAAGCGCATCTATGTTATCCAATCTAAATATTCCAATATTTATATACATTAGTTTCGAAATTGGCACGCTTATCGCGCATTTCCTACTTACTCACACTGCAACTCCGACAATGATTAACAATGGAGTTTACATTCTCCACACGAGCCTCTGTTTCCTAGAGAATCACCTGTTCCGACCATTGCCGTGCTCGTTTACTTTCCGGCGGCGGTTTCTGGTCACTGCATCAGAAACGAAGAAGAAAGAGAAGGTAGTTGTGATTTCTGGACCCACCGGTTCCGGCAAGAGCCGCCTAGCATTGGAACTCGCAAAGCGCCTCAACGGCGAAATCGTCAGTGCCGACTCCGTCCAGGTAATCATATATTAAAACACAAACAAGCATTTTTGCATTGTGTGAGGTGGTAGTAATGATGCACATAGGGTTTTGGGATTTTAAGTTCAAAGGTTTGCAATCTCGATGAAAATTTTTGTTCGGCCAAATCATAGGGAAGATTGTTTAGCTTTTGAAAGTATTATTATTATTATTATTATTATTATTATTATTATTATTATTATTATTATTATTATTTCATGAGGAAAAATATTATTGTTTTAAATTGTTGCAGGACAGTATTTGTTAAATGAGTAGTTATGCCTATGGGACAAGGTTAATTTTTCAAGAAAATGCTATTTATGTGGAAGCAATATTTGTTTTCGAATTAGGAATTATATATCTGTAATTTAATTGAACGAGTTTTGCTGTTTACGTTGTTTTTTATTTGAATAAATCATCAGGTAAAAGATTTTTACATTGTCTTCCCATCCTATATTGTCATGTAATTTTGAAAAATGTTGATTTCTGGAATAATTACTTTAAAAGTTGTATCTAAGGTGATTTGTTATTGTTTTTATAGTGTAAGGAAATAATGTGCTTTCTTCATTGGCTTGTATTGTACCACAGGTGTATCGGGGGCTTGATGTTGGATCTGCAAAGCCTTCCCCAAATGAAAGAAAGGTGTGTGTGTGATTGTGACATAATGCATGGTTTACGTTAGTCTATGTTATAAGTTTTTGAATTGCTTATTCTTCTTGAGCAATCATTTTTGGAACCTTTGATTTTAGTTTATTTACTTTTTGTTTTGTTTACTTTTCTTGATAGGAGGTACCACATCATCTGGTTGACATACTGCACCCATGTGAAGGTATGTTCTATGTTGGACTGAGCTATATTTTTAATGAATAAATAAATTCATAATACACAATTATCTTTGTATCTTCTATGAAGCATGTTCTTTGATCTGGACACCGAATACTCCTGCTAATGTCTAAAATATAGGACATGCTACATAACAAGTGAAATGAAATATGGGAAACAGAAGAACATAAAAAAATATCTAATATAAAAAATATTTATGCATTCTAGTATATTCTCCTTCTGTCCAAGTTTATGAGCCTCACAAGAGAATATCAGGAGATATTAATTTTTATACAATGTAAGCACTTGATCTCTTTACAAAATAATCCTTAAGTAAGAAGATGAATTATATCTTTCAAAAAAGGCATATTCAACTTCTCAAACCAGCATGTTAAGTTTTACAATTCTTCCTTGATAGTAAGTCTAAAAAAGAGTTGAGAATTTTAATAACTTATTATATTTTAAGTTGACTTTTCTCAATGTTAAAATATGCTTTTTGTGAATGCTTGTGCCTCCGTTGATGCAGAGGTGTTGGACACCTAGTGAGATTTGCCTGAAAATGTTTTTGACACTGACACTTATGTACGAGAGGTGTTTGTACTGCATAGTTTCGTGTTGATTTTCTATTGTTGAAACTTTGAAGAACTTTTATTTTCACTAATTTAAACTAACTATTATTTATCAGACTATTCTGTTGGGAAGTTTTTTGAGGATGCTAGGCAAGCTACTAGATGTATTCTTGACAATGGCCGTGTTCCCATAGTCGTTGGAGGCACTGGATTGTATTTAAGATGGTATGTCTTTTACAATTATCTATTTGTCGCTATTAACAACCTATTCCTTCGAAGAAATAAATTCCACTTGTGTTTTTTGTTTCCTCAACCAGCTAAGGAAATCATTCATTTCATTAGTTATCTCACAGCTATTTATATCCTTTACAAAGAAAAAAAAGGAAATAGGGGTGGAAGTAGCATGGTTGGGCATTAAACATAATGAAAATAATCAAATATCTGGAAAGAAGTGATGCATATTTGGTTTTTTGAGTGTTTCCCTGTTGCATAATTTGTTAAAGGATGTGAAATATACTTGTAGTTTGTTATGGTAATTTTCTAGTTATTTGATAAGCAACTACAAGTCCCATTTGTTTGGTTTTTTTTGTTGGATATTGTAAACTTCTATCAAATGAAGGAAGCTGTATGGGGATCCACTGTACGAATTATCAATGTTTCGTCTCACATTATTAGAGTTTATTTTCTTTATGTAGCTGTTGATGTGCTAATGCGGGACACTATAACTATGAGTTATGTTTGAACTTTTAAATATAAGGTTCATATATGGAAAGCCAGATGTACCTAAAGCTTCTCCAGAGATTACATCGGAAGTAAATCAAGAGTTAACTGATCTACAAAGGAATGGAGACTGGGATAGAGCTGTGCAGTTGGTGGTAAAAGCAGGTGATCCAAAGGCTCAACTTTTAGCAGTGAATAATTGGTACCGATTACGGCGAAGCCTAGAGATTATTAAGGTATGCTTGCAGTTTTTCAAGATACTGATAGTCTCGTGCAACTCTAAATTCTATCACGGCTACTAAATTTACCGAAAGATTGAAGAAAAACTCTTTCGTTTGTTGCATTGCACATTGGTGCTAATATGAATACCAACCACGAAATATCCAAATTTTAATTTTGTTGGTAATATGTTGTGGTGCTATTATCTCTTTTCAAATGAACTTCACTGTAACCGACTAAGTATACTTGCATTTTTTCTGTGGGTATATATGTGAAATCCATGATTTCCACGGTTTGCTGCATGGTCAGAAATATGAATATAAATTCACCATTTATGTATATTTCTTTGGAATGGCAGTCTAGTGGATCACCTCCTTCTGCATTTCCGGTACCATATGATTCTTTCAGGGAACAAGGTGAATGTAATCGTGCGGAGGGTTCTGAGTCGTCTGATATTAACACGTATGGTGATGCAATGGAAGAAACCAACTCCTCAGAGTTAGACTATCAGTTTATGTGCTTTTTCCTTTCTAGTCATAGACTTGACCTCTATAAATCAATTGATTATCGGTGTGAAGATATGCTTTTAGGTATATCCTGAACAGGAAACACTCAATTTATATATGAATACCCTACATTTTGTAGAACATTCTTCTCTACCTGTATGCATGGGCACATCGCATCCCTGTTTGTATTTGCTGTTATAACAATATATGCCTAGCTCTCTGTCAATAATACATGACATTTGATGGTAACAAATCTCTTAGTTCTATTCAACTGCAGGAAGGGATGGAATTTTGTCCGAGGCTCAATGGCTTCTTGATGAGGGTCTTCATCCAAACTCCAATTCTGCAACTAAAGCAATTGGTTACAGACAAGTATACATTTATACTATTACCATCGTTAAATTTTAAATGGTGAAATATATTTGTATATTGTCTACCACAAGAAGTTCTTTATGCTATAAGCATCAGTTTTGGTTGAAATTGTAGTAGAATATAACTCCAATTCTCCCTTTCTTAATGTTTCAAGTATATTATAAAATTAGAGTATTATATTAAGCATTAGGGATGTAAAATAGTTAATGCCCTATAGAACGTGTGTACTAAGTTGATCATTATATTTTCTATATAAATAGATGTAATGAATTTACTCATATTTGAATACGTGATTCACTAATTTCAGGCCATGGGGTACTTACAAAGATGCAGAGAGCAAGGGGGCCAAAGTTCTGTTGCAGAATTTTACAAATTCTTGTTTGAATTTCAAAAAGCATCACGGTAATGCATTTTGTTGTTTTATAAGATAAAAGTAGCAGAGCATTTTTAGTTTTCCTGTTCACTTAAAATGTTCTGTATAATTAATCTTTTTTTCTTTTAAACGCTTTGGTTTGAGTAAATCTTTGTTCACTGAATGTTTTTACTGTTAAAAATTTATCCTATGAAGCATATGTTTCCTTTTTCTTATTTTTCCTGGTGGCTGTTCTCCGGTATGGTTTGTTGATTACAACTTTGTTTTTGTAAATTTGGGTTAAATAAGAAATTTAGAATACAAAATACAAAGCATGTTCTTTCATTGCGTTTGGGAACTTTTAAGACCAAGATAGGATCCTCTCTCTCGTGTCTTAACTATTTGAGATTCATTGGACCAACAAGTGAAGTGTGCAAGAGGAAGCACTGCTTCAATCCTTAAGGCTGCATCTTCTAGGAATTTTTCCATGCTAGTTCTTTCGAAATCTTTTAATATAGACCAAATTCTCCAAAACTTTGTTTGGGATTTTTTGTAATGTTCTCAATATTGGTGATGTTGTCAACCTTTTCTTAAAGGGTATCAATATTACTTTAGATTGCCTTTAGTATTTATACACCTGCTTGACTCCTAGCTTGTAGTTGATTTTTTCTCCTCATAAACTTAAAAAAAAAAAAGAATTATAAAGAAAGAAGAAAAGAAAAGTGAAACTATGGTAGGTTATTCTCCAGCACAAAAGGGCAAGATATAAATATGTGAGCTTGACCTATGTTTTCCCTTGCCAATGGATTGAAGAATAATGTTTTCATTTATAGTGTACTGATAAGGTTCTGAATTGATCGCATTGAACATATCCCTATCCCAGCTTGATCTCTTTTATGTTTTAATTCTAAAGTGCGCACTAGAGGGGGGTTGTATAATTAAATATCAAGTTCAACATGCACGGAGGAAGTTATCCTGTAGTACCATGATATAAATCTAAAAAGATGTTCAGCTTAAAATCGTCCATCAATTTTCAAATTCTAATAGTATTGAATTCTGATAACAATTTTTTAGCAAGTTGTTTGTTTGCGTGTTTAGATGTTCTACTTGTTTGTCCTGTTTCGAAATTGGTGTATGCTGTTAATTAGTATTTTTAAACGTGGCTGTTTAAAAGCTTTCGTTGGTCAGCTTCAGTCAATCACAGGTTAGGGATGGTGGCTTGTGCTTTTCCATTCTATTTGTGTCGAACATGTTTCTATATCTCAGGCTATTACTCTGTTGTGGTTGAGGTAGATTATTACCATCCTTTATAACCACCCAGAAAATACATGCCGACATGTTGAAATTGTTTCATCAGGAAAAAACCTGTAGTACTTTAGTACTATCTCACCAATGCATCACAATGTATCCTCTGCTGTTGTTGTATTTTGTTTCCACTGGACTTCATATTTATTTGGTCTTTGGTCTTTAGATGCTTATCATTGTCATGTTTTGTTTCTATTGAGCAGCAGCGTAATTTAGTTATTTAATAACTTATTTCTTATACTTTCTGCAGGAATTTTGCAAAAAGGCAGTTGACATGGTTTCGAAATGAAAACATATACCAGTGGCTTGATGCTTCTAAACCTCTGGTATAACCTTGTGAAGATATGTTTCTCTTGTTATTTCACATTATTAATACTACTCTAAAGCCAACAACCTAGTGTTCTCATCAATCTAGTATTCATAAAAAACTACTAAAGTTATGTCTCACACAAGCAATGAGGAAGTCTTTGCTACTAGTACTTTTGAAGGGGTTTGAAGAAGCTGTTAACTAAACCTACATAGTGGTTTTCCTTTTGTATTTGGTCTTTTTTATTTTAAAAAACTAACATGTTTCAATCTTGATTGAAATATTTTCGACTTATCTTAACTTATTTCAACATGGACTGACCTAGTTTGACCTAGTCTAGTCCGATCTAACTTGTCTTGACCTGGTTTGAATCAACCTGACACGTTCTGACTATACTTAAACCATCTTGTCCAACATTCTCGATCTGATCCATCTTGTATTAGTATGATCCTTCCTCATTAGATTTGACCTAACTACACAAAGTAAGTCTAGTCCACCCGACCAATCTATCCCATCTTGACTTATCTTGGTTTGATAGATTCATTTTGATCTGACCTTCTTAGCCTTAGCCTGACACATCTTGTCTCAACCTGATTCAACCTATCTCACCTTGGTCTATTTATTTGTTTATGATCCAATTTGACTCTTACTCAACTTGATTCGGCATCTTACGATTTATCTTAATCTAACTTGACTCAGACCAGTACAAATCAACACAACCCAATTCATTCCAACCTACCATCCTACCTGACTTAATTTAGTCTTCTTGGTCTAGTTTAATTTGCCTTGACCAGATTCAATCTTAACAGTCTAGTTCAATTTGATCATGACCCATCTTGTCCAACTTGTAAGTTAGACTTACAAATCTAGTAATAATTTTTATATTTAATAATAATTGAAATTTTTTATCCAAACAAGAAAATTAAAATTCAATAAATTTGAATTATTTCCAAATAAATCATTTAAAAAGTAAATTATTTAAAATAAAAGGAATTCAAATTTGAAATATTTAAATTTTTTAGAAATTATAAAAAACCTTATCCAAACATGTAAGGAAAATCTTCGTTGTTACGTTGTTGGGCAATCCATTCTTTTGTCTATTTCTTTCATTTATGCTTATCTTGAAATGAACTACTCGTCCTAGGAAACCATTCTCAATTTCATCAATGAGGCTTACCACGATTGGAATGGAAGTCTTTTTGTGCCTGAACACTTGAGAATGTCGAGAGATGTTTCTGATCGCCGAGAAGCTTCACAACTGAAGTCATACCGCACCAAGAATAGGTACCTTTTTGTTCTGGGTAAAGAATGTATTATTAAGTCATAATATTGATTATTTTCCTTGCTGCAAAGATATTTAATTTAAGTGTTGTTTTCTTATGAAGGCATTTTGTGAAGGGGGAAGATTGTTCTCATATTCTGAACTGGATAAGCAAGACTCAAAGGTGAAGGGATGGGTGTTTTCCTTCTGCATTCCCTTGAACCTGCCTATCTCCAGTTTTTGGGTTAAAGAGAAAGTTTTGTTTTCATTGCCGTTTTCTTATTGCATAGGCATCCTATCAAGTGCAACACCAAAACTGAATCACAGCCTCAGTCAAATATTCAAAATATTTAGTCAACCCAGTCTTTCTTTTTTTTTATATATATGCTTTTATTTTTTTCTCATAACTTAGTCGTTTACTCACATAATCTATATCTACATAAATTAATACCTTAACAACAGACAACACAAATCACATTTTTCATAAAACAATACTATCTTAATAAATTAACAAACATTTTTATTGAACTCAATCACTAATAATGTCCAACTTAATTAATAATATTACATATCCAACTTTCTGCTTCAAAATTTTGTAAATATATATGAATAAGTTCTCAAAATATGCTGACCATGCATGGTACTTATATCCTATATTATATAAATAAAGATTATTAAAATAATATATCAAAATTTAAAATATTGAAAATGCATATTTTTTTAGTAATACGAATTATTCATTAATAGGATTTGAATCCTAAAATTACAGTTAAGAAATAGAAATAGCTAAAACCTGCGTCCAGTCAAATCTAGAAAGTTTCTTTAGTATGGAAAAATTGTTTATAATATTTAAAAAAAAATCTTACAAAATGTAACAAATGTATATCATTTCGGTAAAATATCAAGGTTGTGAAAATTATTTAATTTAGCTTTACCTTTTAGTTTTTTTAAAAAAGAAATTTACAGTTTAGTTTTATAAATTATTTCAGAAGATAAGTTGAAGATAAATGTTTGATAGTTCTGTTTTAAAAATTATTTTAAATGAATGAGAATAATAGAGATGTTGAAATTGAATCAATTCAAAAATAAAATGGAAAATTGGTGTAAACAAATTGAAAATTGATCAATATTAATTTATTTTATATTTTTTTCATTTTAAAACCAATAACATCGATTTAATTTTCAATTTGATAATCAAGAATTCACACATCAAACTGAAATTATAATATATTATTAAAATTAAAATGTAAAATAATATTTATGAGTAAGCGAATTATTTCTTTTATAATTTAAAATATGTATTATTATTTTTTAAATTGAATATAGTAAATATGAAAACAAATTCAAAGAATATGTTTTTTTAATATTTTTTATTAAATAATTATTTTATTATAATATATTTAATAATTTTATAATAAAAATATTAAAATTTTCTAATTTAAATTATAAAATATTATTTTGGTTTGGTTCAAATTTTTTAAAATAAAAATTAATTAAATAATTTATTATAATTTAAGCTATATACTATTATTTTTTATATTGAATATAAAAATAAATTTAGATTATAAATATTACAATTAATTATGTATAATATTTTTATTGAGTAATTATTTTATTATAATAAATTTAACAATTTTATGATAAAAAATCATAAAAATTATTCCACCCAAATCATAAAATATTATTTTAATTTCGTTCGGATTTTTCTAACGGAAAATCAAATCATATTTAAATTTTAGATTTGTTTTGAGTGATTTTTTAATTACACCATATTTTAAACATCCTTAACAAATAGTATAAATGAGAAATAAAGTTGTGACAAAAATTAAAAATAATTTTGTAATCCGACATATTATTAAGAAAAATGATAATAACTATTATTTAAAACAAAAAACAAAAATAAATTATAATATCTGATTTTTTAAGTTTTCAAAGGATAAAAAATAAAAACTAAACTATTTTAACAGAACGGTTGTCAATCAAGTTTTTTTTAATTTTTAAAATAAAAAAATTAAAATATATACCTTAAAACATTAAATAAATTTACATATTCTATTATCAACCTCAAAACTAATTGTAACAGTAAATATACAATTAGATACATAATATTGTTGATTAGCCATTTAAAAAATCAATAAACTTATTATATTCAATGTGGGTATAAGTGTCAAAATAGGTTTAACCAAGATTATACGTAGACTCGTGAAAGGTTGGTACTAGTAAACTCATAAGAGGTTACTTCATATAAAAAATCAATTTAATAATAAATATAATAATATTAATTCCTTATTATTAAAACAATAAAAAAATAATTAAATTTGTACAATAGTATAATCAAAATAAATAAAAAAATCATAAATGTCTAAAAGTTCTCCATCTATTCGAAACCTTAAAATTTTAAATCCTTCAATATCTCAATCTAACATGTCATATCTATTCGAAAATCCTAAAATCTCAAATCCCTCCATTTCTCAATCTAACCTAGAGGGCAGTGAGCAGCGGCGAGTAACTGCAAGGAGCGCAACCACTGTGTGACCATCATACAACCACTGTGCGGCCCAAGTGAAACATGTGCGACCCAAGTGAGCGTCACATGACCACCAAGCCACTAAGGGCAAGCTGGCCATAACGACCACCGACGACAATAAGCAGTGACAAACAGTGTGAAGAGAAGATCTGAACTTGTGAGAAGAAATGAGGAGAGTTGAAAAAAATTCAAGTTTTTCTTTTCCTTCTAACTCACGACTTTACTCAGAGTCCATCGAGTTTACCGAGTTTGACTCCGAGTCTACTCTGAAAAGAGTCTACTCACGAGTTAACTCGTACCTAGTTATTTAACTCGTTAATTCGTAGAGTCGGCTAGTTAACTCACTAGTTTGATAACCATGGGCTTAACTCGATGAGTTAGCTCGAAAGGTCGGAAAAATAAGTTAAGCTAAACCAAAAAAATTATGACCTAATATTTCGACCATTGTTTAAATGAGCTTAGGTCAGGCGAGTTCGTAAGCTTATGGATCGACTCGTTTTATAAAATAATTTATTTTTAAAATAAAATAAAAATAATTATTTTATTAAAAAATATTTGTATAATAAATTAATTTGATAATATATTTTATATTATATATATATATATATATATATATATATATATATATATATATATATATATATATATATTAGAAAGATTAATAAACCCTAAACATAAACTCAATTTGTTTTGGTTATCTTCTTCCTCTCTATGACAACATAATCTTAAATGTATTATATTTTCAAAGTATCATGATAAGGGTCTTGTGTTGGATAATAAGACTAACTTGTTAAAGTAATGAAAATTAAAAAACATGAGCTTCCATTTAGCTATATTGAATGTGAAAATAAAGGTTTATAACGTTTATTTAACATAAAAGAAGATGTATGTATGAACAACTATAACTTCTCAAGACTACGTACATGCAACTAGTGTGACAGATCTTCTTGGGGTATGAGGGGATCATGACTCCCAAAAGTTTTATTAAATATACTTGTTTGTATATTTACAAATTTGATCATTCACCCTTTTATATTTTTTATCTTTTCACATTCATTTATTATTTATTGATAATATATTATTTGGTTCTTTCAAGATCAATGGTCAAGATCTATCACTCATTATAACAACTCATTTTATTAATTTTGTGACATTTTATGGATTTAGTTGATTGTGTGATATTTTAAGCATTTTGTCGATTTTGTGACATTTTGAACATTCAAATTACAGTAGTAATTTCATAATCTTCTCTTAGACTTTTGGAATATATATAATATTCAATATTTTATAATCTTTATATTATGTAAACTTTAACTTTAATTATTTAATGTTTGTTTATTTTTTGCTATCAACTGTATATACAAAAGAAGTAAATATTTTATGATTTTATATAATAAATTTTTATACAATAATGTTTTATAATTTTCTTTTATCTAAGTAGATTATGAGTTAATTTTGAATAAACAAATGAATGATATATTATTTTTTCAAAAAAAAATTAATATATATATATATATATATATAATATTGTTTGACTTTTAATTTGAAAAAAAAATTGATCCATTAGGCTATTGGCCTAACATAGGATTATGCTAGACACAAAATTTTGCCCAATTTTAAAATATAAGTCAGATTGGACCGTTAGATTTTTGGCTCTTGTTTCCTCCACTCACATAATTTCTCTTTATACCTTCATGCCCTAGGTCAAATATCTAAAATACCCTTCCCATAATTTTGTTTTTTACCCTAACTCCTTTTATTTGTGTACAACTTTCTGCACCTTCATCCCTCATCACCTCTATCTTTTGACAATTTGATTTTTTGTGTTATCACCTCCATTGAAGACATTTTCTTACAATTAAAGGTAAGTAGTCGTTAATATTATGTATGAATTACATGTTCATGCGCTCAAATTACACAAACAAACCTAAATTGCTCAATTTGAAATAATATTGCAAAAATGAGGTTGAATTTTGGAAATACATTATGAATTGAGTGCTCCAGAATGTGTTTCCAGAAAAGTCAATCCAAAAATGCATTACGGACTGACTTTTCTACAAATACATTCCAGAATGAGTATTTCAGAATGCGTTCCTAGACAAGCCTGTCTAGAAACGTATTCTGTATTGGGTGTTTCGAAATACGTTTTTGGAATTTTCTAGAAACATAGTCCAGATTGAATGTTTTGGAACGTGTTTCTGGAAAGGTTTTTTCAAAAACGTATTCTGGAGAAAAAGTCTTTATGGAAACACATTCTGAATTAAGTTTTTTAAAATGTGTTTCTAGAAAATCCTTTCTAAAAACTCATTCCAAGGTGTTCCGTAATGTATTTTCATAAAGCCAATTGAAAATGCATTCCAAAAATGAATTGAATTCTAAAAATGGAAATAAATGTAAGGGTAAAATTTATTTTAATTTAATTATAAAGATACTCGGAAAAAAATATAGGGTTATAGGAAACAACAACCTAAATATTTTTACTTTGTGTGCTAGAGAGTCCTAATTGTAGGTAGGACCTTAATGTTTTAAAAGAAGAAAAAAAAATGTAACAAAATCAAAATCTCAGTGGGACGTTGTAAGATAGATATGATAGATATGTCAGTGTTTTGTTAATTGAAAATGCATGCATTAGCATGATAAAGATTGTACTACACTAAAAAA